GGGGGATACATTTTACCTGTAAGCTATTTTAGTTCTCTGTTATCTTTACTTTTCAAGATGGATAGTCTGTGCTCACCATATATCTTTTGGCATTATTGAAAGTGCCTTAACACAATGACATCCATAATTCACCCTGCTTGTTTTAATGCTGCACGACTAGGTCAGACACCTCAAAATATTCTTCTTAATCAGTTGTGGCTTTTTTAAAGGTACAGAGATTTATATGCCATTTTCTTACAATAAAAGCATCTTTCAAAGTAATGTGTCCATTAAGGTGTAGTTTCTGAAAATTGCACCTGCTGTTTTCATTAAATGTTACATTCATTATTTCTTATATTCAGAAGTTCAGAATGACCTGCAAACAAGATGTACTATCTTGTCCTACAAACAAGATGTAGCTGGAGGTGTTAGTAATATGAAGGGTCTGACTCATATCAGCTGGTGATAATGCTCAGTAAACATCTGCCCTCCTCTCTTCCCAAAAGATAACATGCATGAGCATGGTAGCTTTTCATTGCCAGCACTGTGGCCCATAGACATCAAAAGATGTAAACCCAGGGGGCAGAGAAGAAATCTTTAACCTCCAGTTCACAGCTAAAGCCATCAGTCAATGGCATATCTACTACTAATAGGTGCTCTTTACTAATATATTAAGATTGAAATATTTACCATGGCTCGCAGAGAAGACATTACCATTAACTGCTCAAAAAGCAGTCATGTTAGACACCGTAATCACAATACTCTTCTGAAAACATAACATATGGTCGTTCAAGGATAAATCACCAAGAACAACTCCAGGGAAGATCAGAAGGTAAAAACAGATAATTTTTTACTGTTTATTTATATTTCTAAAACGGTTTCCGACTGAGCTAACCTAGCAATGTCCGATTCGTCAACGAATCGTTTGAGTCGGCGCTTTTCCCAATTAATTGTCTGGGGTGCGTTTCCCAATGATCGCAAGTTCCATTGAACTCTATTGGTAACGATGGAACTTGCGACCATTGCTTTTGTGAAACGCACACCTGAATGATTCGTCCACCGTCCACGAATCACTCGTTCTAGCCGTTAGCAGTCATCAACCGAAAGACTTAGTGAACCCAGAACCGTCGTGAACATGTAAGATCCGACAGTAATACAAATAAGTGTGAACAGTTAAGGTAAAAAGCTACAAATGTTACAAGTAAAACATAATTGAAACATACCATTGCAGTTTATGCACATGAGTTGGTATTACACTTTTTCAGTCAAGTTTAAATGGACTTTAGTAAATAATAGGCTATAAAGGGCTAAATCCAAACCATAATATGTTACTACAGTTTTCATAACCTGTAGGCTGCAACGAAATGAACTAGAGCACATTAACATTGATAATAAAACATAATAATAATAAATCTTAATAACTGACAGGTCCCTACACAGTATTGGAACATGCTAGAACATGCATGCATGCCACACGCTAAGTAATGAGGTAATTACCTCACATCGTAAAATAATTACAATCTCGATGTTTTGAACTGGTTCTTTACATGTTCAAAAGAACCGAATCGCAGAACAGAGCTTCCATTGCTTTTCAAAGCAATTGCAACAAACTGATAAAGGCACACCTGTAACCTTGTATAATATCAATGCAGCAAGTTGCAAAAAAGGACACTGCTTGGCAACCTTCAACAGCCATAGTTAGGCTAATTACCCATATTACCTATTTTGTTAATTATTATTATTAAAGCTAACTATATTGAACACCGGTGTCATTTATCATTTTGCTGTTGCCGCCTCCTGTAAATGCAGTATTTTATTATTATTATTTTTTTGGTTACACTTTACTTGAAGGGGTGTGCATAAGACTGACATGACACCTTCATAATCATGACATGACACCTACATAATTATGACATGACACATATCATGAATATGAAGGTTTTTATGCATGTTTATGACAACTGTCATTAAGTGTCATTCGCTCAGTTATGTAATTTTTAATGCAAAGATTACATTGTTTGAGATGTCTTTGTTATGGGCTATGGTTAGGGGTAAGGGTAGGGGTAGGATTAGGTCAAATAATGTCATATTTGCATTAAAAATGACATAACTGTGCGAATGACACTTAATGACAGTTGTCATAAACATGCATAAA